ACTTGACGGTGGTCACCCACTGGATGTCTTCTCCGTTGAACTTCACGTGTCCCTGGAGACGCGTTCTGTATCTAACGGGCCGTTATGGCTGTGTCGTCGGCCTTGGGTATGTTGGATGTATAGATGTTGAATAGGTGCGGTGATGGTACGGCTCCTTGGGGGTCGCTTTCCTCGACGTCTCGGTAGGTGGATAGGCCCCCTTCCACCTTCACACGCAACTTCCTGCCTCTGAGAAAGGACTCCACCAGCTTGATCAGTCCGATAGGGTAGCCAAAGTCGAGCATCTTTGCCAGAAGCCCATCGTGCCTGATCGTATCAAAAGCCTTGGCGACGTCCAGGAGGACTGCCACGGTGGATTCTCGATTTTTGAAACTTGCGGAGAGATGTTCTACTGACCTGAGAATCTGCTGCTCCGTAGAGTGGTCACTGCAGTAGGCAAACTGATCGTCGGGGATGACTTGCAATTCATCCGAGCCGTCACGCAATCTGGTCAGGATGATCCTCTCTGCTACCTTGCTCATCATTGGCAGGAGACTGATGGGCCTGTAACTGACAACAAATGTAAGGCCCCTTGCGATCTCGTTACCGATCTTATAGCGTCGGTGTCGACTGTTGATATAAGCGCACCTAGGCCTGCGCAATACAGTGAGGAGTGGGGGCGGCAAGTCTTGCTTGTATAAGAGCCATTGACATCAGTGCCGCTTCACTTGCTGTTAGTCCTAAGAAATAGGGTAGAAAGCGTTTAAATGGATTATAGGTGAAAATAAGAATAATTCAAAGTTTTATACAAATTATAGCTTCTTTGAGTGAAAGATAGCCAAATGATTCAGAAAGATTCAAAAGATTCACCTTATTTTGCGAAATTAGAGCAAAATTACCACTTTCTATGAAAAAACTTGAAAGCCTGAGGCCTCTCAAGGACACAAAATTCTGGATATAGTTTATCCAAATCTGTAAAACATTGTGTTCCAATCAAATAATTTTCTTTTAGAAGTCGTTGCAGAGCCGGTGATGACAAAATAATAAGTGCAACGAGTCACTGAGTAGGTACGTACTATTTTGTTTTTGAAGATAGCAGTTCTATTTTTAAATTGTTGTATGTTAACAACCTTTGCATTATATGAAAAAACAAATTACAACAATTGACGTTATATATAATTAAGTTCCGCCTTAAGCCAGAAATATTTCCTTTATAAATTGTAAATTCTTTATCTTCAAACCTCCAGATTTATGACTTATTTATTTTGCTAAAATTTTCTTATATTTATCACGAACGAGTCAATATAACTTTCTTAAATCGTTAAATGTGAAAAAGGCTGGAATGAAGGAAGAATACAATGAAGAATTGCAATTTATATATCAGGGAAATCCGCTATACTTCTGTGATGCCACATCTATATTTATACTTTTTTTGATTAGATAATTTACGAGAAATTTTAGATTTTGTTCGTCTTGATTATAATTTAGATAACCAGTTGTAAATAAATATTTTTTTTATCTTATCTTAATAAAGTCATAGTTAGGACAAAGTACAAACAAAATTATTTTATTTTATTGGAAACTTTTGTACCGATTTACGTGATTTATATAAAGATTGGTACAGAAATTATCGTACCGCATCGGGGCCGAACGCCCGCCGCCCGGCCATGCGTCGGCTGACCGATGACCGTTTTCCGATCCTTTTGTTGAAAAACTTGGACTTGGAGCATTGGCATTTTTTTATATTGGCCGTCGGCTTAGACGAATGATAGGAAAAAGTAGAAAAACAAAGACAGAAAAGAAAAGTGAATTTACAATGTCTGGAAGGCAAGACATTTACACTTTGTACACAGGAAATTCCTTACGCTGTTTCTGCATTTCATGAACGATGAAACGAAATTCTACGTCTTTCGATATCCGTATTATATTTACATAATTTTTTCCAAAACTATTCAAATCCAAAATTTGGATTTGAATAGTTCTCGAAGCTTAGATAAAAAGTTGTCAAAGGCATTAAGCAGAGAAAATTATATTTTTCGAAATATAGTCGCCGAAAGGTAAGAGTTATAGTATAATACCGCGAGGTATAAATTGAAGAAGACTCATTGTAAGGTCAAATGAAGAGAAGCCGTGCAATCTGTCCAAAACACATATTTCTTAGATTGTCGGGGTTACTGAATCCGAATCAGCCATCCATTCGGGTATACAGATGCTATACAGGGTATACAATATACAGAAGGTTCTTAAGGAAAATGATGATGAATTTCAATTGGATGAACATATAAATGAACCAGGACTTCTGAGTACGAATTTTCTAAAGATTCCGAAATGCTGCAAGACATCAAATATTTATTAGTTATGTCAACGTGGATGAAGACAGATAATTATGGTGGTGATCAAGATAATGGTCCAATCCTAGCATATTATTGCACGTGTTACTCAAGGACGAGAGTAGTAGGAACTTGTGCTCATGTGGCCAGTGTTTTTTGGTTTCTACGCTATGCCCGCCATCAACCACATGTGAAGTACCCAGATGATTCACTATTAAATACTACAATGAATGCAATTAATTAATTGATAATTGAATCACTTAATTATAATTTATGTTATACCTTTTATTTCAGACAATATTATTTCTTATCTGAAAATGATTCAATATGTATTCGTTACGATGTATAGTACAGTCAAAAACATATGCATTCATCAATGATGTTTGATAGGTGTGTAGTACAACATTAATAAAGAATGTACTTTAGTTAAAAAAGTTTTTACTTATCGATTTTTTATCCTACCCAATTAATTAGTAAACTTCAGAACCAGGTTGGCCGTGGAACATCTTACAACCTGTTATACTCTTAAGGCTTCTCACTGTATACTTTGCAAATGCGCGTAAAAAAATATTACCTACTTAATATTATTATAATATGATTACATATGTTTGGGACAGATTAGATTTACAATAATCTTACAATGACCTTCATTTGGACGGCGTTATGCAGAAAGCTACCAACCCACAATATACCAGATATTGAGTTAGGTGCATATTTGGTTAATAAAATACGCGTTCTGCATTCTGTAAAATCCTACCAAGCCTCAATAAATTATATACCTTATAAAACTATAAAATGCTAACCCACATTATGTATTTTGTTGAAACTTTTAATTTGCAAAAACCTACCAACCCACTTGGTTTTACTTTAATATAGCGCCAGATGCACTCAAGTGAGTTGTTAGCTTTCTGCAAATATGGGGTTGTTCAATTACAATCAATCAAAATAGAAAAACAAGAGCCATTTTGGCTAATGATACAGCAACATGATTTTTCACAACCCTATCAAAAAATTTCGATCAAAAAATCTTCTCGAGGTAGACCTGGTAACGAAGAAACTTTTAGTGACTTAATACCACTGTGGCCCAACGGAAAGCCTATCGCTGAAGCGAAATTGCAGAATTTAAAGGAAATGATGCATCTTATTCCTGCAGATGCATTGCCTTTTTATCAAAATTTGCAGGGTGCCAATATAACTGAAGATGTTGAGGGTTAGGTACAATGTTGAAGACTTAGATTTTGAAGTGAACGATGTAGAATAAAATAAAAACTTTATAAAATTAATAGTTTGGAATTTCATTATCTTGTTTTTTGATAAGTAAAAATAATTATTTTTCATACTACTTTTGCTTTAATTAAAAATTATTGGTATTAGTTCCCAGTTTTGCAAAATGCAAAAACCTACCAACCCACAAAAAGTCGCCATTTTTACCTTTATTTTATATATAAAATATTTAAACATAGATAAAATATCAAAAGACCTATCTTGCATTAAAAGAAAGTTACAAAGTAGTATTTAAACATCCTACAGATTTTTTAAATTAATAGAAACTTTAGAGTTGATTATCTCAGTTTGTCACTATTGTGGGTCGGTAGCTTTCTGCATAACGCCATCCATTTGATCTTGATGTGACCTTGAAACTCATCCGCACAGCCGAATGGACGGCAGATTCGGATTGAGTGACCCCGATAACGTAAGGAACATGTGTTTGGGACAGATTACACGGCTTCTTTACACTCCTAGCTTTCATGGACTATATCACGGAAGATATAATTTTCTCAGCTTAGTGCCTATGATAAACTTTTTATCTAAGCTTCGAGAACTATTCAAATACAAAGTTTCAAAACTATCGGCTGAAAGCCATTTTCCATAAGGAACCTGCGAGATCCTTTGAGCTTCTGGGCATCATCTCCGCTTGGTCTTAAACTAGGAAATTGAAAAAATTAGTCCAGTTAATTAGTGGACAGGGTGTTTTTACGAAGAATTTTCAAAAATTGTCTTTGTTTCTCAAAATATCAAAAATATATAGTACTTAAGAAAGTTATTGAGAATTAAAAGTTATGACAGATTGTCCATTTTCAATTTGATCGGCCAACTTTGTTTTTTTTTTTATTTTTCACAGCCACAAAGTACAAATTCCTAATTATTTATTAGAGAAAAAAGCGTAATTAATATATAAATAAATAATAATATAATGGTTATTCAAATGTGCTGCCACCAACCATTACACATCGCTCAGCGCGCTTGGTAAATTCTGTATAGGCGTTTTGGATTTCTTGAATGGGGATGGCATTAACTGTATTTTTGTTTCAATTCAAATAAATCGTTATTCAACGGGGACCCATAGACTTTCTGCTTGAGATAGACCCATAAATAAAAGTCCATTAGAGCTACATTAGGAATTCTAGGAGGTCAAGAAATTGGGCAATTTCGCTCAGGAAATTGACCATCTAACCATTCTCGAATGATTCGCGTAATGCGCCGAGTATCCGTCTTGTTGAAAGTAAAGAAAAAAAAATCAAATTGAAAATTGACAATCTATCATAACTTTTAGTTTTCAGTAGCTTTCTTAAGTAAATATGTTTGATGTTATTAAAAACAAAGGTACTTTCCTCTTGAAATTTTTGAAAATTCATTGTAAAAGCACACTGTGCATTAATTGGACTAATTTTTTCAACATCTTCGTTTCAGGCCAAGCAGGGATAAAGCCCAGAAGCTCAAATTTCAACTCGAAATTTTTGTCATTTACACCCTACGTGCACTCAATTCGTGGACACACTGTATGTAAGTTTAACTCTGTCGCATATTTGCTTCTTTAGGCGGGGCACATTATGAATGCATTAGCATCAGGTGTAGGATATTTGCAGGCGATTTCTCGTTAACTGTTGTCTTGAATGTTTTATAGGTAGTTCTTTTTAATTTATATATGAAATAAATGTGGTTATGATTGTTAAATATGAAATAGCGCCGTTGGAACTTTTTAAAACAAAAAGTATACACATATATATTTACTATACAGGGTGTAACTTTAAGTGGGTACCACTTTTCCCAAAATCCGAATCTAAAATTATTTTTTTTAAGCAAGTAAATATCGTAAATAATTCGTTTTCGAAACTGTACTTAAATTCGAATTTGGTTATACGTATCCACCCTGCGCACTTATCGTTATTGCCAGTTGTTATCTATAAGTTTTTAATTATTAATATCTTCTTTATTTTGCGACTTTTATTTAGCTAATTTTTGTAAAATGATCTATTTTTACTAGTTTTAGGAGTATTATTAAAAAACCATCAACAACACCCTGTATTTAAGGAAGCTATTTACCAAAACCCAGAAAAAATGGATAATGTTGCTGTGTCTTGTTCTTCTTTAAAAAAGAGAAATAGTCTTCAAGTTAGGAAAAAATGTCCAAAAAAAAATCCGTTAAGAATAGCATCGCAAAACGTGATCTATTATGGAGGTACTTGATGAATAAATAGCCGTACAATGGCAATTACGAACGATATAATATTACTAAAGCTTATACATATAACCAATGCTGGACCATTTACACAGTGGCTTGTTTCTAAAAAACAAACATTTGACTATAAAATTCAAACAGCTGTTGTTGGAGTATAATATATGAAGTATGTCGTCTAGATTTGATCTTTTTGATATTGTGTCAACGAGGTGTATAAAATAATTTTAGTTAATAATAAATTCTGATTATTTCAGATAACGGAATGCAAAAAATGGTGTATGTACCGAGATATCCAGGTGGTTAAACGTGAGATAGAGAGATATTTTGTGCCACTTAATTAGGACCTCTTATTGACACACTTGGCTGATTTATTAGCCTTGTTTTATTGATGTGAAATTTGAGTTAATTTCAGCTTTTCATATTGGTCAATTAAGTTCAATAGGAAAATAACACATGGCTGTTGTTGTCATTGGCTTCGAGTTTTCGCTGAGATAATATTTTCAATAATAGAAAGCCATTTCGAGTAAATGGAAATTAGTGTTGATGACTATTATAACTTTTATGCATGGATAACACTTTCTATCGTTCTGGATTTTTCGATATATACTTCGGGGTTTTCAAAACTTGGTCAATTGTTGAACAAAATTTGTGCTCAGAATTAAAGGAAGCACTTTGCCTGTGGCCTACGTCACATAATAAACGTGCATGCGGGAAGTCTCGAGAAAAAATGGCTGTTTCTAGACGTGAATAATTAACATGTCATACAGAGTTACCCCCAAACCATTATTTACAACATCTGAATCATTATGCTGAAGACAATCGGTTCTCTAAACCCGTCTACTTTTCGTTTTCTGGTGAAAAGGGCGAGATCAATCTTGGATGGGTTCTCTTAATCCCTATCCTATACACCAGTATTCTATAGCGGCTAGGGCCCCTTGAGTGGACTTACTAATGAAGCTTGACGATTTCCTTGAAATTAGTACATACGTATAACAAAGCTATCACCGTAAGCTTGCTTAAAGATTCTCATGTTGAGACCCTGAACGAGACTATCGAGCACGAGGCATCACAACAGCGTAGAAACATCTTCAGTCCACAAACTCCCTAACCGCGATGGAGAATAAGCCATGCCAATGGTCAATGTCCAGGAATGTCTCGATAACGAGTTCCTTCTGGTTAATAGGTTTTTTGTTCTGTACACAGCGGAATATAATGCAGTTTCGGTAGACTTACTTGTTTGATAAGCGTGTTGTGAAGTGACAGTGTCACAAGCACCTATTCTTTAATATCCCTTTTTTTATATGGGTTTAACTCTTCGACTCTTGCCGTTCTGTATGAGTTTGGGATATATCCCAGAATTAACGTGGACAATAACAAATACATAATACAATAATTGATGGATGATATATTTTGGCCTATGTTGTATACCATCCGGAAAAGTATCATTCAATCCTGCACTTTTGAATGAAGAAAAGTTAGTATGAATCAGCAAATTAATTCTTGTACGAGTAGGTAGTTACCTTACAGGGTTCCTCCAATCCATAACATTCCAACGACGAGTAATTTGTTTTAAAATTTCCCGCAATAAAATACTCTCATACTAACCAGTAAATTTTAGCACTGCCGTCACAAAGTGCTCCTAAGAGCGCTTTCACACGAGGAAACTGTCTGCGAGAAGACTAGTTGTACATTATAGTTCTTATGAAATCGTGTGAAAGCGCTTTTAAAGTGGACAAAAATACATCCATATTTGGCGTTGCAGTCACCTCCACTGATATTTGGTAGATCTACCGATCTGAAATGACTTCTACGGATAACCAAATAGTCAGTAATTCTGCCTATTTTAAAAATAAATTTCAAACCTATTTATGTATTCATTTACAGTTAATAAAATTTACAGTACTTAATGAGTACAAAACTAAATTAAATTTTATACTATAGATATTATTCTTCAATAGATGATTGTTTGCTTTACACTACACAGCCACACAAAAAAAATGTTTTTCGAGTCTGAAGGTAAGACTATGTCCATTACATGTTTTCGAGGTTGCTGAATCTAAATCCGTGACACAACGGTCCTGTCCGATTCAACCTCAAACCTCCTAACCCCATAACCGTATAATTCCATAACTCCATAACCGATAAGTCCAATACCCACGTTACTCAGTAGTTTGACTTGATCTCTCATCGCGGGATATATCGAGGCTCTATAAACAATATATTTAACCCCATAATCCCCCTAACCCCATAACTCCAATAACGACGTTACGCAGTAGTACGATTGTTTGATGCAAGGAACATAGTCTATATCGTTATTGGCTTCCAGTTTCATTATCTCCAGTAGATCCTCCGTCAATTTAAAAAATATCAAATGTTCGCGTATACTAACCCAAGTCCCTGGAGTTCCTGGATCGTGGCTTTCATACCGTCATGGTAGGCAAGGTGGAAGATGTACGAGACAGGATTTCGGATGCCCAGAATTGGCGGATGGTCAAGGTGCGAAAGCGGGCCCCGCGAAATAAAGCTTAATTTGGCACGATATTTTTGAAATTGACAGAGAATCTAATGGAGATGATGAAGCCTTGCATCAAACAATTACTGCGTAATGTGGTTATGGGGCCATGGGCTTATAGGGTTGTGGAGTCAGGGGGTTGGGAATTATAGGGTTAAATACAGGGTGTTAAAAAAAGAGTGTAAAATATTTAAGGAGGTAATAGTATGAACCAAAATAAGCAGAAAAGTCTCAATAAACATGGGTCCGCAAAGTAACGGTTGCGGAGATATGGAATGTTTTATGTTTTTTAGCCCCTTTTTTTATTTTGCAAAAACGTTGTGTATTTTCTTATAATAGTTGGTTGATGTTTAGTGAAATAAACAGTACGTATTTGACAGTTGTTCTCAGTGCACAAGTTTTCTTTCGCTATGGCTGGTTACTCTAACGCAGAATTAACAGACATGCATTTCATGTATGGTCGTGCTAATGGGAACGCCACCGAAGCGCGACGTCTTTATGTTGACGCTTATCCAAATCGCCAGATTCCTTCACAACGCATGTTTGGAAGAATTCACCAAAGATTGCGTGATACCGGTTCCTTGAGCAAACAGTGCCATTTATCCGGAAGACCAAGGTCGGTATCCACTCCTAGAGCAGAAGAAGAAATTCTAGCACTGGTAGAGCAGAATCCAGGTACGAGTGTGCGGAGAATATCAGCCGAGGTAGGAATTAGTGGTCCTCTTGTTTGGAGAATCCTTCACGAGCAACTGCTTTATCCATACCATGTGCAACGAGTACAGGCCTTAAATCCAATAAATGATCATCAAGCACGTTTGGTTTTTTGCCGCTGGTTTCTACGTCATGATGCTGAAGACCCTCGTTTTCTTGCAAACATTCTTTTTACTGATGAGGCCGGGTTCACAAGAAATGGAGTGTTTAATTTTCACAATACGCATATTTGGGCCGACGAAAATCCTCATGCTCTAATAGAATCTGGACATCAGGCACGTTTTTCATTAAACATTTGGATGGGTATTGTAGGTGACAGGTTTCTAGGTCCTGTTGTTTTACCAAACCGATTAACAGGCGCTGCTTACCTCAACTTTCTGCAGAACACACTGTATGAGTTTTTGGAAGACATTCCTTTGAATCAGAGGCAACAAATGTGGTTCCAGCATGATGGTGCTCCAGCTCATTTTTCCATGGCCGTTAGAGAGCATTTACACCAAACTTTTCCACATAGATGGGTAGGAAGGGCCGGACCTGTTTTATGGCCTCCAAGATCGCCTGATCTGAACCCTCTAGATTTCTTTGTTTGGGGATATTTGAAGACATTAGTGTATGGTACTCCTGTAAATAGCCTGGAAGAGCTGCAGCTACGGATTAATCAAAAGTGTCAAGAAATCCAAACCAAGGAGGGTGTTTTCGAAAGAGTTCGAATATCGTTGAGACGAAGATGTCGTGCCTGCTTGGAAATGGACGGAGGGCACTTTGAACATCTTCTGTAACTTTGTTTTTTGTTTGTTAAAAGCTTCCTTTGTCGGTTTATTCCTAATAAAATAAAATGTTTGAAAAACGAATAGTGGTCCATATCTCCGCAACCGTTACTTTGCGGACCCATGTTTATTAAGACTTTTCTGCTTATTTTGGTTCATACTATTACCTCCTGAAATATTTTACACTCTATTTTTTAACACCCTGTATATTCTGTTTATAGAACCTTATGTAAGTATTCCGCGAGAGAGCAGGTTAAACCACTAAGTAACGTGGTTATTGGAGTTATCGGTTATGGGAATATATAGTTATGGGGTTAGGTTTGAGGTTGAATGT